TTGAACACTGAATACATATGCGCCACACAAGTCACTTGATTTGTGTGTGGTCTGTGATACTGCGCGGGTGCCCAGACCGATCTTAAATATGAGTATTTTATACAATATGAAACGGAGGTGTAATCAAGTTGAGATGAATACAGTGAAGTTAATCTATCAAAATTATGGCAAAGTTACCACTAAAATTTATGGAATTTCAAATTAATAACTTAACATATAATCAGTTCTAAAGAAAGTCTACCTTTTTTCTGAACTTTTAAACGATTTCAGAAGAAGCTTATAGTGTTTTCCAGACAATGTGTTTTGATTTTTTTATTGTAATTTTTTAAAATGTATTTAAATATTAATTAGAACTATAAAACAAGTATTAGCTTCACTGATTTAGACATTTTCACTGTGATATATATAACGAACCAACCGTAATGATTGACTTAATTTTACTAACTTTAAATGACAAAATCCAAGTCATACTTAAATTGTGTAATTACATCCATAAAGATGGATGTTAACGTTATCAAAATTGAATATCCAAGTTCCGGTTGACTATAATTGAAAGCGTACACTACCGAATTGTGGCTCACTGATCGTAAAATATAATGTTCTTGTAAAGATCTAAAGATTTCATATTTATCCACTTTATATATTTTTAACGAGTACCACAATTAAGAGAGAAAACAGTTTCCTCATACCTACTAGTATTTTACAATTCTGATAATCTGATTTTTTCTAATGGATGCTAAATTCAAGACTACCTAATACCAAAAAAACCAAAACATTTTTTCCATCAGTTGGTGTTGTTTTACTTGTATCTTCTCATTGTTATTTAGGACTGCAATTGATCAGTATCATGTTGGCATATGTGCATCCTGTGAGGATTGCCTCGATATAGCTTTAAGTCACAAGCTATTTAAGCAAAGATGGATAGTGGCTAACAGTGGAATCCAGGTATGCAGGTACATCCAGCTGACGAGTCCCAAATAGGACGAAATGCGCGTCCTGGATTCCACTGCTAGCCACTATCTACCTTTTCCATCAGTTTTATGAAATTCCTTTGTTCAAATAACTCCTTGATTAATATATCCTTTATACTATTATATATACATATCATTAAATTCTAATTTCATTAAAAACTGCCATATTTTGTTTAATAGTAGTAAAAAAATGTAATACCTTTGGTTGTGAACATATACGAACTGTTTCTCTTCAGTTTTCCAGTTAAATACATAATAAATCAAACTAAAGAATAGTTTTTCTTCAAAACAGTTTTTATCCCTTTATTTTCCAACCTATAAATTACATTCTCAAATTTATGATAGAAGCTTTAGGCATCTAAAAGTTCAAACTATTCTGTATATCTTTAAAAGTAATTTGTATTTCAACTAAATTCACCCTAGAAATACCCAAAGTGTTGTGATTCATATTGTATACGTTTATTATCATTTGTTTTATTTATCTTCCAATCTATTTAATTTAACAAGTGACTTCATATGTATACATACAGATGAATCCTTTAAGAAGACTGTTCAAAATGTACTTTTCTCATAAATAACTCATATTACTCTGATAAACATCATCATCATCATCATCTCATTAAATTATCTAATAAAAATAGTGTATTTCGTATCTTTTTCTCAACAACCTGGTAAACAAAACAATTTTTTTTTGGTCTCTTTCATTTGATTATTGATGTAACTGTTGATGAACTATTGAAGAAATCAGTTCAAATTAATAGTTCATTATTTGTTTTCATTTATCTCTTCTCCATATTATTCATCTTCTATTATCTTATCATTTCTATAATTGTATAACTGATTGAAACGTATACATTCATTGATTACTGATTATCAATAAATAAATAAAAACGTTGATATTGATAGACAAACTGAATTTTCCTCCTTTTTTTTTCTTACCTCAAAATGTTTGGGGTTGTGTTTTATTGGTAATTATGTTTGTGTGTGTGTGTACGTCACGCCGCATTTCATCTGTATTGTATATCTATTACATAATTGAATATTTATACAAGTATTCTGCTGATATATATATATATATATATATATACTTGTGAACTACCTCTTGACTTAAGTTTGTTTACGTGGATACTAGAATATTAGATTATGATACATTTGACCGTTATTTGTTGATGATTTATAAGTTGAAAAGGATATCGTATAAACTGATGAAAGGAAGTCAATTATCTTTTATTTGATTTATTCTGAACATTCTATTGAGTAGTATATTTCAGTGAATCAAGATTAAATTAGCATAAAATTATTTTAGGCTTGGATTGTGAATATTTTGATATATGATAATAGTAAAAATGGCTGTATTCAATATTATATGCTTAATACAATACAGTATTCTTAGATTATAGAGTAGATTTATAGATTCTCTATTAATAAGCTTAACCCTTACAGAAATCCTATCCTGATAAAATGTGATCAGTAAACAGCATAGAATATAATCTTTCACAGAATCAAATTTATTTAATAGTCCGTCAAACTGCTAAATCATCTCAGTTCTCTACCGATTAGTAATGCTCACTGTTAACTTTTCACAAATCAAAACTTAGATTATAATTAAGGATAAAGTCAAACTGAGGATAATCAACCGCAGAACCATTAAAACGCAGGCCATGCTACAAAACCTATTCTTCCAACCATTCAAAACTGAATATAACTCAGTGCATAACTACCAGTGTTTAAACTGATGTGCAATTCTTAATGATCAGTATTTAGTATGCTCAAAGTTCATCCAACTGCTTTGAAAGTTATCTACAAGTCTATTTTACTAACATTTGTTACCTGGTAGGATGCGTCAAATGGGGTATCATGAATTAATAAACCATAGTTTGATAAATAACCTACTGAAAAAATAATTAATTATTTTAAACCGGTAGCTATTAAAATTTATCAATGTCTCTAAACGTTGAATATTGTGCTTTCACCATTTTGAACTATTTAGTAGTCAAGTGGGAGTAATTAAAGTTTATTATAGATATTTAAGTAAAGAAAGATGGTGGTTACCACTAGTGTCCAGGAAGTACCTTTTATCTCATTTAAGATTGGTCAGTTGGACGTTGATGTGTTAATGCTTACATTAAGACTCGAAGCCAATACCTTTCGCTTCAAAAATTCACTTGATTGTCTATTGAGCTAATAAATCTAAATGGCCACCAGCTTGTACAAAGGAAGATTAAAATCATTACAAAACTAAATGTAGTTTGAGGTTGAACATCAATTCAATCGTTAATAAGCAATGACTTAATGTGACACCTCCAGAATTACTATTCCATCATTAAAGTTCTTTTCATCCTCTAGAAACTGTATCATTCTTTTCAATAATCTACATAATTTTAAGTATCATATACTATGCAATCTGTCTAGTTAAGTGTGTATTTGTCTTTTACAAACGCCTTAGTGAATAACAATACATTATAAACTCCAAATTTATTTTAGCTTTAAGACTATTCCAGTCTATTGTTACTTATATTCCACTGTATTCTACTTTAGGTGTTTTCCTCTATTATGAACTATTCTTATACGCATACATTATTACTATACTATCGATTGCTTTTCACTGATGATTGACTTCAATTGAATTTGACACAGTCAGACAAATCTAACAATAAAAAGTATAAGTGACTATATTTTTTAAAGTCATAAGTAGATATCATTATAAATCTGACAGAAATAATTACATTATATTTTTTTCTCAAAATTACAATTATTTCATATCACTTTCAATCGAATGAGTATTCTTCAAACAAATAACACTACAGTCTGAGAGCTGAACTCAATATCCAATGTACTAGTGTAGTGAATGAGAACACAAGTGGGGACAATCTAATGTATTTTAATACAGTATTACAGAATATCTGAGACCGGTTATAAAGAAAAACAGAATTACTCACATAGTAAAGGTCACCGCATGTAAACCCTTACTGAACTAATATATAGAGATGAATTTCAAGCTTAAACATTTTACCTTTTGTTATGTCCGAAGAATAAGTGAATAGTAACCGCTAGGATCTATTTGTGGACTATTATTTTACATACTTTAATTTGTAACCAATAAGTAAATATATTATATGCATAGTCATATTCCTTTTATTATGAGCTTTCATTTGACTTATCGGCTATTACTACACGATTTACTATTATTATGATACTTACAACTTATTAGTAACAGTCTCTCACAGTAACAGCCACTTTTGGGCTTGATCTTGTATAATTGTTATTTTCTATGTTATGGTATGATGCGGTTTGCTTCGTTTGTATATAAACCAAGTATTTTTTTAAATATATGATTCGTATAGTGGAGTTTGATATTGATGTTCTGGACTAAGCCGGCTGGTTTAGGCGAAAAGCTACTATCTCGGTGGACAAATAAGAACTCAAAGTTGACTCTGAACTGTTCATACTGGTTTATGCATCATTGGTCTGGTCAGTAATTTGTTGTTCTAATTGGCGATCGAATCACGTGATATATTAACCAGAGCATAAGAACATAACACCTTTGATAATCAAACTTCCACACACTGACGGTTTACTTCTGTATAACCAATTGTCAAATGAAGAAGAGCAAATTAGCAATTAAATAAGGTTACAGATAAATGATAACAAAAACAACTTTATTTACATCTATTGAAACATATATAACAACGTAAAAGAATTTTTAATTTTGTTATTTTACAAAACATAATTAAACTAATTAATCCCTGTGATCAACAATAACTGCTGGTACATTCTCTTTAAATAATACAAAATTACTAGTCAAAATAAAATAATTCAACCAAATTGAAGTATCAGGGTCACTCAACAACAACAACTAATAAGAATACCATGCATATTTGTATAAAAATTTAAATTACTTCAGGTTTAAAGTAGTTAGTAGATAATTATATGCAACTTGACTAAGCTGAAACGTATATACACTTGTCACGCTTTCTCGAAATGATCATTTAAGCTTTTCCCAGGGATTTATCTCTGTTTATTACAGGCTTATTTTGATGATGATGATGATGATGATGATGATGATGATGATGATGATGATGATGATGATGATGATGATGATGATGATGATGATGATGATGATGATGATGATGATGATGATGATGATGATGATGATGATGATGATGATGATGATGATGATGATGATGATGATGATGATGATGATGATGATGATGATGATGATGATGATGATGATGATGATGATGATGATGATGATGATGATGATGATGATGATGATGATGATGATGATGATGATGATGATGATGATGATGATGATGATGATGATGATGATGATGATGATGATGATGATGATGATGATGATGATGATGATGATGATGATGATGATGATGATGATGATGATGATGATGATGATGATGATGATGATGATGATGATGATGATGATGATGATGATGATGATGATGATGATGATGATGATGATGATGATGATGATGATGATGATGATGATGATGATGATGATGATGATGATGATGATGATGATGATGATGATGATGATGATGATGATGATGATGATGATGATGACATAAAAGAGAAATTAAGGTTTTCTGAGGAAACCAGATTTAAAGTTAGCTCAGTATTATGCTATAAATTACAGTCTCTCTATAATGTAGTTTAAAGGACGACTATCTTTGGGTAAGATAAATGTCAATGTGAAATAATTTGAAAACGTTTAACTGCTGGATGCTGAATCAATAATATCGTGCATGTACTAAGACCTGAATGACATGAATTCAGAATATTTTTTAAGAAATCTTAAACCAAGATTAAAAAATCGTGATATTTATTTTTCATGAAAACTAACTTCAACCGATTACAAATTAACACACTGCAGTGATCATTTCTGCCGTTAACGATGACGTTTAAAACCATACTATAATTCAACAGCTGTCTTAACCATTGTAAGCCAGAAAATCCATTTCGTAGCACAAAACTGTATGACAATATATTTTCAAATTATAAATCAAGGAATCAGAACCAAAGAATTCCACTACGTAACAATATTAAATCTGAAAGAATATGTGCTCTTTACCAACAAACGAAAATTTCATTCGATTTAAAGATAAGTTGATCAAGTGTAACCATTAAAAGTAATCTATTACATCTGCAAGAGACTTTATTAAGTGTTAATATATGTTAACAAAACCTAACAGATATTATGACTAGTTTCAGTAATTATTCCTCATTACAATGAATATGTGTACACACATTTACATAAACAAATGGATTATTCCAAAAAATGCTATAATCTAAACACTGTATAACCCTTAACAAGAATTATATGCACAAATATGTACAGTTATGTGTATAAGCTAACAAATATGTAAGTGTTTAAACATAGAAAAGTTTTCCCATTGCCTGGGAAAATGTTAAAATAGGTAACTCACAGAAAAAATGATTTAAATGGACATATATAAAACACCTAAATATAATAAAGAAATAACTAAGTCAATTCCTGTTTAAACAATTAAACGTATATATATTGAGATGGTGGAGAAGATTTATAGCTCAGGTGGATGATTTTGATGAAGTTTTGTTCTCTGAGCTAGATGGTTTGGTCGTGGAGCTTTCATCGTTCTTCTGTATGACATCATGAGCACAAACTTCAGATAGAAGTAAAGTGTTCGAATTTCCCCATATGCGTTCCACAGCTTGTTCTGTACATCTCGATGGTGATTGGTTCTTATTGAGTAAGAAGCTCCACGACCAAACCATCCAGCTCAGAGAACAAAACTCCATCAGTATATATATATATATATATATATATATATATATATATATATATATATATACATTCATATAAATTCTTGTGTATCAATCAGGAAAAAAACAATTAATTACTTTGAATGATAAAATTAATGTATATAATTGCATAACAATGGATTATTATTATTACTTTATAACAAGTTTCAGCTATAACTTGCAATTTATGAAACATGTACCAGACAATAGGTATACATAATCATATACATTCTTATTGAGGAACTGGTATTTTAGAAAAAAAACAATTTTAATTTGGCAATTATATCATATTTACAAATACTTCTGACTAAACATATCCTCATCTTACAAAATGTTAAAAAGTATTATGAATGTTAAGGTCTTTAAATGAAAGTAAACAGAAGTATTATTGTTTATTTGATAGCTTAATCATTTGGATTGTTTTCATAACGAACTAATATTAACTGGTAAGGCGTTAAAGACGTAGAACTTAATGACAATCAGTTTTGTCTCTGTTCAGTGCTTACCAGTAGTATTTACTGATGATTTCTCTAGAAATTCAACTAAGAACCATCATGTATAATGTTAAGTGTATTACATTAAGATTAATCATTTGAAATAGTCTGAAAATACAAGTTCAGCGATGGAATATAATTATCGATTGATTCTTCATCACGATTCCACATCAACAAATACGTTTCAAAATTAAGCATGAAATCAATAACTACATCAAACAAATAGTGATGGACTAATTTAACAACATATTCGATTGTTTTCTCGAAAAAAAAATCAATTATCAACTCAAACTACGTAAAATTAAAAATAAAACAAGATAACACAATCGTCTCCTTATTACTAATCGTTGCGTAAGAATAGGAATAGAGATTGAGTCAGTTTGAAAATAACCAGCATAATATAAATGTTTAGCGTTATTTGTAAAATAATAATTAATTAATAACAAAGGTACAAAGAAAACTAGACAGTCAAACTATTAGGATTAACTACGTAGGAATAAAATCAGAAATTAAAATCGAGGTTAAGAGTTCGCCGGCAAGACCGGAGGTCCTTAGTTCGAATCCCACACGAGGGATCATGGATGCGCACTGTTGAGGAGCCCTGTACTAGAACGAAACGGCCGTCCAGTGCTTCCAGGTTTTCCATAATGGTTTAGCTTCAAATGAATCATGATCTCAACTATTAAACTTACTATAATATCCACAAACCCCTATTCTGATAAAATTGAGAAACTGAAAAGTTCTAGAAATGTTAACGAGAATAAATGTTAAGTCAGGTTAAATTAATAATATGTTCAAACAATTTTTGTACACAAAGGTGTAATTATGCATATTTCTGTGACTTCTGCTGCATATAAAGAATGATTTCTGAAAGATGAGAAGGAGTTCGACGGGATCATATTTGCAGCTTAAAAAGTTAAACTTATATCACAAATTTATGACTGAGGATGAACTGAGTATTTTCAGCTATAATTTTAAAAATACCTTCACAAATCGATATATGCCACTTTTGAATGTTAGAAACACACTTCATCATTTGCTTAAACTAGTGTTCAAAATTAAATTTGACAGTACAAGTCAAATTAGTTAACTCCCAATAAAAAGGAGCACCCATCGTTAACGTTCCAATTTAAAAAATACATTGATTTTAGTAGACAATATGCAATACATATAGAAGTTGTAACTAGACATAAATGACAATATGGGATAAAGTTAATGGAATCAAATTTAGTCAAATCATTCTACTTAGTGAACTATAAAACAAAGTGAACATTTTGTTACATTACTTTCTGATACATCGTTTTTCTATAACATATTATTATTATTATCAACAGCCAAAGTAGTTGACACGAATTTAATTAAAATGTACATTTTTTTTCAAATGACAACAATATTAGCTCAACATCGCTTTCATATGGATAAATGACTTTGAAAACATTTGTTACCAGGGGAAAATTGAAACAAAGTAATTCAATATTTTCTAGCACAATTAGAATACATCATATTTAAATTAGATATGGTAGTTCTTACTACAGGCCGACAACAACAGTTAGGAAGATATCATGGAACGACATTGACTGACTAGGAGAAAGAAGCCACAATAATGAGATTTGCGAATCTATCTGCATTTAACAAATTGGTTATAAGTAGCACAATATTCCTACACAGACGCACAAACAAAGCTACATCAGTCTCACCACGAAGAACAAGATAGATCATAATTGTATCACTAAAAAGTTTAGAAAAACAATAAAAGACATGAGAACCAGGAGAGGAGCTGACATAGCTTCAGATAACCACCTGGTTGAGACCAAGATTAAGCTGAAGTTAAAGAAACTACCGGACAAGCATCAGTAAAAAGGTTCAGTACAGCTTTCCTACGAGATATTGACAAACTCAAACAATTAAAGTTAGCTTTCAACAACAGGTCACAAGCCTTAAAGAGGAAGAAACTGTTACGGAGAAAAGCTGGAAATGGATTGAAGAAACACTAACTTCAACGTGTCAGGAGGTTCTGGATAGAAAGAAGCATCATTACAAAGAGTGGATCTCCACAAAAACCCTGGAAAAGATTCAAGGAAGGAAGAACAAAAACACAGCCATCAACAACAGTAGAACAAGAACAGAGAATATCAAAGCACAAGCTGAATACACAGAAGCAAACAAACGAGTGAATAGCAATAGAGCCTGCGAGCAGAAATACGTGGAAGAGCTAAAAACGACAACGGAAAAAGTGCATGAGGGGGAAATATCAAGCAACTATGCAACACGGCGAAGAAACTGGCAGAGAAATATAGTAAACCAGAGAGATCGGTCAGCAACAAAGAAGGCAATACAATTATCGAGATTCAAGAACAGAGGAACAGATGGGTGGAACAATTTGAGGAACTCTTGAATAGACCAGCCCAACTAAACCCATCGGATATTGAAGCAGCACCTACAGACCTTCCTATAGATGTCACCCCACCAACGATCAAAGAAATCAGTGTGGTCATCAAGCGAATCAAGTGTGAGAAAGCAGCAGGACCTAACAACATACCAACTGAAGCACTGAAGTCAGATACAGAAGTAACTGCAAGCATGCTGTCACTACCAGGAAAGTGTTGCTGAACCGGATGAAGGGTTTAGAAGATCCCGAAACTCGAGATCAACAGACTGGATTCTGTAAGGATCGGTCGTTTACAGACCAAATCGCGACACTACGGATCATCGTTGAACATTAAGTTGAATGGAATTCGTCACTATACATCAACATCATTGACTATGTGGCGTTTAACAGTGTGGATATGAGAACCCTATGGAACCTTCTTCAACATTATGGTGTACCTGATAAGATTGTCAATATCATACGGAATTCACACGACGGACTACACTGCAAAGTTTTGCATGGAGGACAGCTGACAGATGAATTGCACGTTAGGACCGGAATCAGACAAGGTTGCTTACTCTCCTTTTCTCTCTCTCTTCTGATGGTTGACTGGATTGTGAAGACCTAGATATCTGAGGGAAAGCACGGAATAAGATGGGCAGCTTGGATGCAACTACGCGATTTGAACTTCGCAGATGACCTAACGAACAAGTGTAGATGAAGGCAACTAGTGTAGTAGCAGCCCCTGCATCTGTAGGCCTCAGTATACACAAAGGAAAAAGCAAGATCCTTAAATACAACACGGAGAATGCCAACCCATTCACACTAGATGGAGAAGCTCTGGAAGATGTGGAGTCTCTCACATACCTGGGAAGCATCATCGTTGAACAAGGAAGATCGGATGCAGACGTAAAGGCGAGGAT